CTCCTCCTCCTCCTCTTCCTCCAGGACCTCCAGCCGGATCTCCTGGCCAGCCTCTCTCCGCTCCCTGCTGGGCACTTCTGCCCCCCTGTCCCGAGTGCGGCGCTCAGAGATCTCCAGCTCCCGTTCCCGATGGATTCTCCTCTCCCTCACAGCCCCTTCCCTCTCTCTCACCCGGGGAATTCTCTCTGCTTCTGCTTCTTCTTCTTCCTCCTCACAGGCTCGTTCTCTTCTTCTCAGCTCCTCTCGTGGTTCCCGGATCTCACGGCGCACTTTGACTTCGGCTTCTGCTGCAGCCACTGAGGTCTCTCTTCTCCTTTCATAAATTCCTCGTTCTCTGCTTGCATCTTCTTCAGCCTCACGAATTTCCCGCTCTCGTCTCTCCCGTGGTTCTCTCCGGTTTCTCTCAATGGCTTCTGCCCCCCTGTCCCGAGTGCGGCGCTCAGAGATCTCCAGCTCCCGTTCCCGATGGATTCTCCTCTCCCTCACAGCCCCTTCCCTCTCCCTCACCCGGGGAATTCTCTCTGCTTCTTCTCCTGCTGCTTCTTCCTCCTCACAGGCTCGTTCTCTTCTTCTCAGCTCCTCTCGTGGTTCCCGGATCTCACGGCGCACTTTGACTTCGGCTTCTGCTGCAGCTACTGAGGTCTCTCTTCTCCTTTCATAAATTCCTCGTTCTCTGCTTGCATCTTCTTCAGCCTCACGAATTTCCCGCTCTCGTCTCTCCCGTGGTTCTCTCCGGTTTCTCTCAATGGCTTCTGCCCCCCTGTCCCGAGTGCGGCGCTCAGAGATCTCCAGCTCCCGTTCCCGATGGATTCTCCTCTCCCTCACAGCCCCTTCCCTCTCTCTCACCCGGGGAATTCTCTCTGCTTCTTCTCCTGCTGCTTCTTCCTCCTCACAGGCTCGTTCTCTTCTTCTCAGCTCCTCTCGTGGTTCCCGGATCTCACGGCGCACTTTGACTTCGGCTTCTGCCACTGAGGTCTCTCTGTCCCTCTCGTACCTCAGAGTTTCTCTTTGTTCTCTCCTTCCATCTTCTTCAGCCTCACGAATTTCCCGCTCTTGTCTCTCCTGTGGCTCTCTCCGGTCGATCACAGCCTCTCGTTCCTCCCTGTCCCGAGTGCGGCGCTCAGAGATCTCCAGCCCCAGCTCTCGTTCACGGTTGATTCTCCTCTCCCTCACGATCTCTTCTCTCTCCCTTCTGGGGCAAATTCTTCTTTCTTCTTCCTCCTCACAGGAGACATCACAGGCTCGTTCTCTTCTTCTCAGTTCCTCCCCTCGCTCTCTGATCTCATGGCGCACTTTGACTTCAGCCTGTGCCACTGAGGTTTCTCTTCTCCTTTCATAAATTCCTCCTTCTCTCCTCCCATCTTCTTCAGCCTCACGAATTTCCCGCTCTCGTCTCTCCCGTGGCTCTCTCCGGTCGATCACAGCCTCTCGTTCCTCCCTGTCCCGAGTGCGGCGCTCAGAGATCTCCAGCTCCCGCTGCCGATCACTTCTCCTCTCCCTCAGGGGCTCTTCCCTCTCCCTTCTGGGGCAAATTCTTCTTTCTTCTTCCTCCTCACAGGAGACATCACAGGCTCGTTCTCTTCTTCTCAGTTCCTCCCCTCGCTCTCTGATCTCATGGCGCACTTTGACTTCAGCCTCTGCCACTGAGGTTTCTCTTCTCCTTTCATAAATTCTTTGTTCTCTCCTTGCATCTTCTTCAGCCTCACGAATTTCCCGCTCTCGTCTCTCCCGTGGCTCTCTCCGGTCGATCACAGCCTCTCGTTCCTCCCTGTCCCGAGTGCGGCGCTCAGAGATCTCCAGCTCCCGTTCCTGATCCTCTCTCCTCTCTCTCGTTCTCCCTTTTCTTCTGGGATCATCTCTTTCTTCCCTCTCCTGCTCCTCCCGGATCTCCCTTTCCCTTCCTGCCCATTCCAGCTCCCGTTCCCGCTCTTCTCTCCGCCCGTATCCGCGTTCCCCTGGCTCCGCTCTCCCACATTCCCCGAGCTCCATCTCTAACGGTTCCTCCAGGAACGACTGGTGTGGCCTCCTGGACTCCGGGCATTCCTGCTCAGCCACCCGGCATCTTCTCCCTTCCGTCTCTCTTTGTTCCTGCTCTCGCCGGCGGTGGCGGCTCCTCTCTTCCCGCAGCAATTCTGGTTCCCGTGGCCGATTGTCACCTCCTCCATCTGCTCCTCGTGGCCGCTGGCTTCGTTCACCACGCCCCGGCTCCGGGCGGCTCCACCGGTCCGCCCGCGGTTGGGTTTCTCGGCGTTGCCTGCCCGTCCTCACGTCTGCCGGTTCTTCCTCCTGGAACCTCTCCCGGATCGTCGTTCCCGGCTCCCCGCTCGCTTCCGCGTCCTCCCCGCGACGTTCCTGCTGCTCCCTCCTCCTTCCCTCCGAGATTTCCACCTCCCCGAGCCTGAGGTCTGGCTGCAGCTCGACTTCAGGGTTCCTCTCCCGGGTTTGGCGGTCCTCCTCCTCCTCCTGGAGCTGCCGGCGGCTCCCTCTGCTCCTGAATTCCGGCTCCCGGAGGGATTTTCCGCCGCTCGGGAGCTTCGTCCTCTGCACCAGGAACGGGGCCCTGGGCTGGAACCAGAAGCAGCACTTGGCCACCCGGAACACCAAGAGGAGGAACTCGTTGAAGTCGATGTCCCCGTCCCCATCCCACTCCAGGAACTGCAGGATCTTCTCGATGGTCTGAGGGTCGTGTGGCTTCTGCAGGGGGAAAAATAAAACGGGATGGGGGGAAGAAAAGAGGTTTTTGTCTTCCTGCAAAAACGCAAAAAATGGGAAGAATTGCAGAAACTTCTCCTTCTCTCTCTCAGAATTTCACTTTTAGGGCTCAGCAGCGGCTGTGGGAATTCATTCCCTGTTTTCCTGGTCGCTCCCTGGCCGCAGCTGAGCAGCTCTTTCCTTTTTGGGATTTCTCCTTTTACAGGATAAATTTCCATGAAGGAAATTCCCCAGCTCCTTCTCAAGCTTTTCCCTATTTTTTTTTGGTGGCAAAATGGGTTGGAAGAGTTGTGGGAGCAGTCACAAAATCCCAGGATTTTGGGAAAGGACTCCAAAATCATTGAGTCCAACCCGAGATCCATCACCCAAACCAAAGTCCCGGAATTCCTCGGACACCCCCAGGGATGGCCACTCCCCGAGCCCCTTCCAAGGCCTGGCCAACCTTTCCAGGAGGGATTTTCCCAAATTTCCCACCCTGAGCTTCCCCTGGCACAGCTGGAGGCCGTTCCCTCTTACCCTGGCCGTGTTCCCTGAGCTCAGATCCCAAATCCCGGCTGGAAAATCCCAGAATTCCCCCTGGATCCCCCTTTTCCTCCAGGCTGAGCCCCCCCAGCTCCCTCAGGATCCTCCAGACCCAGCACAAAGGACCCCAACCTTTGGTGGAACCCTCCCCATTCCCTTTCCGGAGGAGATTTTTCCCTTCCCTCATCCCAACCCTTCCCAGCCGCTCTCACCACGAGGGAATCCGCGAATTCCCTCTGGATCAGCTCCCTCATCCTCCTGCGGCTGAGCCCGGAGCCGTCCCCGTCTCCCCGGGCGTGCTGCTGGAAGACGCCGACGATGGTGGCGATGCTGTCCAAGAACGGGGACATCCTGCAGTTCCGAGCGAGCCTGGGAGGGACAGGGCCACAGCTAGGGATGCGGGATTCCCTCGGGAAGAGGGAGGAGAATTCCCGGCTCCGAGTTCCCCGCCGGGAACACGTTCCGGGGTTTTAGTGGGATGGGGAGTGGCCTCCGGCTCCGCCACTGAGGCGTTTGGGTGACGTTGGAGCGGGAACGGTGACGGGGGCGCGGCGGCGGTGACTCGGGAGGTGCCCCCAGATCCTGCCCCATGGAATTGTCCCATGGAATATTTCCTTGGAATGGGCCCTGAAGGTCGCCCAATCCAACCCTTCTGCTGCCCAGGGAGGTCTCTAAGGTCTCCATGGAGCTTCTCCTCTCCAGGTGAAGCCTTCCGTGCTCTCCCAACCTCTCCCCAGCTCTTGGAGCATCTCCATGGCCTCATTCCAGGACCTCCTGATGTTCCCAGGATCCATCCCTGTGATCCCGGTGAGAGGAGCCCCAACCCAACCCAAGACAAGATCTGGGGCAGAGACCTCAAAAGCTGCGCCTGGAAACCTCCAAAGCCTCCTCCTTCCCTCCTTCCTTCCTTGTGGCATCCCCAGGCCTCCCGTCGGGAACATCCGTGCCCGATCTGATCCCGGGGAGCTGCTCCGTGCCCGATTCCCGCCTCCGGAACGTGCCCGGGCACACGAGCGCTCCCTGCCCCTTGGAAATGCCGGAATTTCCATGGAAAAGGAGCCATTTCTCCGGTGGGAGCTGACCCCACACCCAAGGACAGCCCTGAACTTCTCCCGTATTCCCTCATGGACAACCCAACGATTCCAGCGGGGAGAAACCCCTCGGTATTCCCAAAAAATACCAATTTTTACCAAAAAAATTCCCAATCCCCCCCCGGGAACCGCTCTTCCCACCCACCCCAGAGGAACCCCGAGATTCCCAACAGGGGGAACATTCCCAACCAAGGGGGACATTCCCGGGAGAGCCACTCACCCAAGTCTCCGGCGGGATCCGGTGGGATTCCTGGGAAGCCGTGCGGAGCCAGGGGAGGACGGGGCTGCTTTTATAGGGTCCCGCGCGGGGTTGGAGAGGAGCCACCCTTTGTGGACGTTGTCCTGATTCATCCTGGGCCGAGCCCAGTCCCAAACGGGTTATTTTGGCTTTATCAACCCTTCCCTATCATTTTCACCCCGAAATAGCAGCGGCTCTCCGGGCCGGTTCCGCCTAATCCTGGAAAATCCTGGCCCGTAAAATCCTTTTACGGTCGCGTTTCGTATTTTTATTTTTTTGGTTCTTTTTATTTTTATTTTGGGAAATCTTGGAAGGGCTCCAGAGCGTAAATGGAGGAGGGTGGATGTTAATGTAAATATTTGTGTTATGGGCGGGGGGGTTAAGTCTTTAACGCGTGCGAAACCACATCAAAAAATAGGAATTAGTATTTTAATTAAATTGATTAAATTCATTAAATTAATTAAATTCAATTAAATTTATTAATTACAGAGGAGAATTTAAGTGCTGATGGTGACAGAGCTCAGGATGAGCAGATCAGGGACAATCAAGATCTTTATGATCCACAAAATTGGTCCTGCAGTTCCAGAGGGGATTTTTGTCTCTTTTTTAGTACATTTCCTTTGGAATTTCAATCTTGAGGTTTGGATCAGGCAAAGGGAAGAAGATTTCAGCCCTAAAATCTGGGTGAAATTCCCAAATCCTGCTGATTTCAGCTCATGGGGCGCCCTTGGGGAGTTTTATTCTTATTTTTAATTCCCATTAATGAGCATTTGGCCATATTATCCAATATAAAAAATAAAAAATAACCATTTTTAAGTGATGAAATGAATTTTTAAACTAAATTAAATTAATTTTAACTGAATTAAATTAAACTAAACACATTTTAAAATGAATTTAAGGTTTTTGAACGAGAACATTTGAGTCCATTGATGACTTTTCATTGAGAAAAATCACGATAAAACTCCTAATACTAATTGGGTGATTTTAATTCCAACTTCGCTGGGTTTTAATTAAAAATTAAACCAGAAACCTCTGCCGAGAGGTCAATTAACACCGAATTTCCTCTGTTTGCCCTCGGGCCATAATTACCTCACAATCTCCTTATTTTTTAATTTAATATTCCAGCAGAAAATTAATTAACTATTCCTTTATTCCCCAGGAACTCTCCCAGCACTCGGAGGAAATCGGGGAAAATTCCAGAGCCTGGATTTGGGGACGAGGTGACGGGGACATCACCTAGAGCAGGAACCCGTCCCGCAGCCTCGCCCGTGGCTCACGCTGGGTGTAGGAGCCCAATTAATTAACGCCGGTTAATTAATAACCTCGGGGACACTCAGCTCAGGGATCGTCCCCAACGTTCATTTTTGGCCTTTTATTTTTTTTTATTTTTTTTTTTTTCCTCGGGGATTTAATTACCCCGGCGCAAATTAGGCCCCACCTGGGCCGTAATGACACCCTTGGGACGCCGTAATTTTGGGGTGGATTTGGGGTGATTATGCAAATGAGGCGGGGCCTGTAACTGTCTGGAATCGCCAGCCCAGGGGCCGCGCGGGAGCCGCGGGAATCCGCCTTGGAAAAGGTCCCTGGCCTCGGCAGCGCTTTCCCGGCGTTCGGTGACGTTCCCGGGATGAGGCAGTGACGAGGCTCCGGGCACGTCCCGGTGGCACCGAACCCCCTTCTCCCGCCGGGGTTTTCCCCAGAAATGATTTTCCTGAGGAGAATCCGCCGCAGGATCCATCCCTTGGGCTGGATCCCGGCAGGAGTTTGGGCAGGAGGGTGGGGAAGGGGGCAAATTCCATCGTGCCAGGTGGATCCAGCCTGGCCTTGGACGCTTCCAGGGAATCCGTGGAATAGCCCAGGGCCAGGGAAGGATTTATCCCAAATATCCCATCCAAACTGGGATTCCAGGGAATCCTGGAATGGTTTGAAGGGTTGGAAGGGACCTTGAAGATCCATTAAAGATCCAATTTGGGCAGGAGGGTGGGGAAGGGGATTCTCCGGCTCTGGTGGGATCCCAGCAGGAATTCTGTGCTGGTGTCCCCGGCATAGAAGGGACGTGGAATTGTTGGAGCGAGTCCAGAGGAGATCATGGAGTGGATCCAGGGGCTGGAGAAGCTTCCCTGTGGATCCAGGCTGGGAATGTTGGGAAAACTGGGAATGTTGAGCTCCCAGGATCTGCTGGGGCTCCGGGGAAGTTGGAGAGAGATTTTTCCTCAGGAACTGCAGGGACAGGAAACAGGGAATGGGGTCAGGGGGGAATTTGGGTGGGATTTTGGGAAGGAATTGTTCCCTGTGAGGTCCTGGCTCAGGGAATTCCATGGATTTCCCATCCCTGGAAGCGTCCCAGGCCAGGCTGGATCCACCTGGGAGAGGGAGGTGTCCCTTGGATCTTTAAGGATCTTCAAGGTCCCTTCCAACCCTTCAAACCATTCCAGGATTCCCTGGAATCCCAGTTTGGATGGGATATTTGGGATAAATCCTTCCCTGGCCCTGGGCTATTCCACGGATTCCCTGGAAGCGTCCAAGGCCAGGCTGGATCCACCTGGCACGATGGAATTTGCCCCCTTCCCCACCCTCCTGCCCAAACTCCTGCCGGGATCCAGCCCAAGGGATGGATCCTGCGGCGGATTCTCCTCAGGAAAATCATTTCTGGGGAAAACCCCGGCGGGAGAAGGGGGTTCGGTGCCACCGGGACGTGCCCGGAGCCTCGTCGTTGCCTCATCCCGGGAACGTCACCGAACGCCAGGTTCAGGCTGTCCCGGGACACTTTTCCAGCCGGGATGTGGATCCCTCCCGCGGGGTGAGGCCAGGACCACCGGGATTCCTCACCCCATCCGTCCCTGTCCCCACTCGGCGCCGCCGGGGCCCGGCCGAGGTCCCCACGCCTCGTCTGAGGTCGGTGACGCGCGGAGCCCTCGGTGCCACCTCCGACGTCACCCTCGGGGACAGCCCCGAACCCCACGGCTGCCTCGGCTCTGAATCAGAAATCCCAAAACCCAAAACCACCCCCCTGCGGCTCCCGTCATCCCAAAGCGATTCCAGAGGCTCCCGGATCGGAATTCCGGAGCAGGGATCACTTCTGGGGAGGGGGGGGGTCTCAGCTCCGGACACGCCAGGGGAGTGAATTTGGGAATTCCGGATATCCCATCCAAACCGGAGCAGGGAGTCTTTTCTAGGATCAGGATTCCGGCCCGGGAATTCCGGGGGAGACACCCATGAAACGCCCCTCACCCAATTCCTCTGCATTTGCCCTTTTCTAATTAATGAGGATTTTCTCCAGAATTAATTCCTGATCCTGCCCGCAGACACATCCGGCAGGAATTGAGCGGGAATTGAGAACTGGGCAGGAATTGAGAACTGGGCAGGAATTGAGCGGGAATTGGGCAGGAATTTGGCAGGAATTGAGTGGGAGTTGGTTGAGAATTGGGCAGGAATTCGGCAGGAATTGAGCAGGAACTGGGCAGGATCTGGGCAGGAACTGAGTGGGATTTGGGCAGGAATTGGGCAGGAATTGAGCAGGAACTGGGCAGGAACTGGGCAGGAACTGGGCAGGAAAGGTGATTTTTGGTTATTTCGGTGATTTTAGTTATTTTTACCACGCCGGGGTTGGGGCTGAGGCGGTGCCGGAGCCGCGCCCGGGGCTGGGAACGGGTTTGGTGAGAGGGGTGGGGAGGGAGCGGAAACAAAGGGAGAGGAATGAGGATGTTGGGATGGGAATTGTGCCCGGTCCGGGGCGGCTGGAGCAGGGCCAGGGATGGGAACGGGGCTGGAGCAGAGGAGAAGGGTCTGGAAAATCCTGAGGGAGCTGGGGAGGCTCAGCCTGGAGAAAAGGGGGATCCAGAGGGAATTCTGGGCTCTTCCAGGTGGGATTTGGGATCTGAGCCCAGGGAACAGGGCCGGGAAAAGAGGGAACGGCCTCGAGCAGTGCCAGGGGAGGCTCAGGGTGGGAAATTTGGGAAAATTCCTCCTGGGAAAGGGGAAAAAGCCTTGGAAGGGGCTCGGGGAGGTTTGGATCCCATCC